CTTTTTTTGTATGAAAATTGAAACTATGGCGTTATTGTTGGACTGACTATCCTTAATTACTGAAAAAGCTATAAACAATTTGTAGTTGGAATATAATTGTCTTTTGTCTTAATGGATGTGAAATTTAAGTACGAGAAAGACTTCTTTATTTATTGTTAATTTGTTTAATAAATTTTAAATTAGATGTCTTGTAATAAAAACAAAAAAGTGAAAAAATGGGAAACGAGGAGCTTTGTTGGGCAGAGTTGGACCTGAACAAGGAAGTCCAAAACATCTGACCTAGCCAGCCCAGCTAAAAACATAAGGATGGTGCTTCTTCTCTCCGTCACCCTACTGCTCTCACTCAAGGACCCTGGAAGATTCTCATTTCCCGATATTTATGACAGTCTCTTTTATCACATGATCCGCCGGTAATTAAGCTCATAATTTACTCATTTCTCTCCGTTGCTTTTGTTCGATGTTCAAAATTTGTATTAGCCTGATGATTAACTGTTAATTAATGATGATTAGCAGGCGATTAAGATGACACAGCCGTCGGTAATACTAGCAACCGCTAGCTATGATCACACTATTCGCTTCTGGGAGGCGAAAAGCGGCCGCTGTTACCGTACTATTCAATACCCTGACTCGGTCAGTTCTCTCTTTTTTCTCTTCTTCTTTCTTTCAAATCTGTTGTTCATTTTTGCGGGTCCTGTTTATTGTAAAATGTTATTTTTTTTTAGGAATTATTTAATCTGTTGAAGGGTGTGCACAAGCGTTGCGAATCGGAGGTCTTGATTTGAAAGCTCTGTCACCCAAGTTAATTAGCAAAAACTATAAAAAGAGGCCCCGGCATTGTAATAAATGATTGATTTATGATGATCACACAAGAAAAAATTAATGATCTTCACATTGCAATGACCTTAGGCTGGTGAAATTGGAGGAAGAACATTCATGTAGCCAACTCTAGCTAGTTGTGTGGTAGATGCTGAATTTGCATTCTTCTATGTTCAAATTATATTTAAAAAGTGCTTCAGGTAAAGAGATGAGTAAAGGAAGTTTTTGATCCAACTTAGCTTAGTTGTGTGTTTCTGAAGGTGTAAGTGTCTTAAGGTGGAACATCTAGATATTTCCCTTGCTTTCTCATAGACCTAACCATGCTTTTTCAACAGAAAAATTTTCTGTTGGCTGTAAATGTTTCATGTGGGATTTAATTTTGCCGTGTGATGCCTGCAGCAAGTTAATCGGCTTGAGATAACCCCAGACAAGCGCTACCTGGCTGCAGCTGGTAATCCTCACATTCGCTTGTTCGATATTAACTCCAACAGCCCTCAACCTGTATGTTTCCCTCTACTGTTTGCTTCATTTTCATAGGTTTCTATTTTTCATACAATTATTCTTCTTTTTTTCATGCCATTGACTTTTGATTTGGCATCATATTACACTTCTATACATAATGATTGCATGACAGGTAATGAGCTATGATTCACATACAAATAATGTTATGGCCGTAGGATTTCAATGTGATGGAAACTGGATGTATTCTGGTTCTGAGGATGGCACTGTAAAAATTTGGGATTTGAGGTAGGTTTAATTGTGCCTAAAGACAAGACACCTTTTATATATTCACTGGAGATGCTTTTTCTTTATTGTGGATATTATGTAGACTTATTCTCATTTTTAAGTCTAATGCAGAGCTCCAGGTTGCCAAAGGGAATATGAAAGTCGTGCTGCTGTAAATACAGTTGTCTTACACCCAAATCAGGTGATATATCATGTAAATCTTACACTATTTAGTTGCTTGAATCCTTTGCTGAATATGCTATTATGTTCCGCATAATTGTAGTTATGAAAGAAGATATATATCTGTATGATGCAGATTATCTTCATAAGTAGGGATTATGTTTGCTTTTCTTAGTTGTAAATTCCTCCTTTTATCTTTTGGTTTACCACTGTTTCTTTGTTAACATGTTTGTGTTCATTATTGGATTCATTATGTACTTGTGTGATGATTAACAAGCCTACCTGTTTCTCATAGTCTTCATGCTTATATGGGAATTGGAAAATCCAGTGTGTAGTAACAAAGTTATTGGTGGTTTCTAATTAAAGAAGAATAAATTGTTGGACAAGTATGTGAGATAGCAGATTTCAAACATTTTGACATTCTTCAACAGCGTTTACCTATTGAAGCAGATTTACCTAGTAGTTCTTGTTGATGCGCTTGTTCATTTTCTCTCACTTGTACAGCATTGATTGTTAGAAATGTTTTCTTGATTGCATATCCATGCTTTTGTAGACTGAGTTGATATCTGGTGACCAAAATGGCAACATTCGTGTGTGGGATTTGACAGCTAACTCTTGTAGCTGTGAATTGGTATTGTTTTCTTTCTAATATCTTCATTATAATTTTTTATTCTTTATCTTGGATTTGCTGCTTTCAGTTAAGAACATATGCATGAGATATCTCTTTCATCAACATGAACTCTCTCCTTTCTTGTGCATCTAGATTGCTAGTTCTATTCCATATTAAAACTTGTGTTTTGTTAATAAAATAATAGGATTTTTCTTTTATTTTTTCATTGGAAAAATTATGAAAAATTTTTAAAATATATCTATAAGTTTCTGAAAGATATCTGCCTTAAAGCTGTGTGGATGAGCTTAAGGATTGCTGTTCTGGTCATCGCATGACAGAAAAATAATCGATTGAATTTCAGACTGCAGTGTTAATAAATTTAGCTGGAAATTATTTATAGTACTTTTGGACTGTTTATATTATGTCCATATACCCCAAGCTTGCTGGAAAAGCTATAATAGGCATCCTGGTCCCTTCCAGAAAGGCCTAATATATATGCTAAGTTAGGTCTCTGGCTATTCCATTTGCATCAGCTGCTTCTTTCCCCCTCCCCTTATCTGCTTCTTTACCCCTCTCTCTCTCCTCCCTCATTCCTCTCCCCCCTATCCGCATAGACTCAGTCATGCACCTCAGAATGATGTACATTAAGTAGTCATTATTATGAATTTTGTAAACCTAGGTGCCTGAGGTTGATACAGCTGTGAGGTCTCTTACAGTTATGTGGGATGGAAGCCTGGTAGTTGCTGCAAATAATCACGGGACATGCTATGTTTGGCGCTTATTAAGAGGAAATCAGGTTACAAATTTATCTCTGATTTAGTTGTGGTATCTATTGTCTTTATAAACTTAGCATGTTTTGCCTTATGAGGCTTTATTTTTTCTTGCAGACTATGACCAACTTTGAGCCCCTTCACAAGCTACAAGCACATAATGGATACATACTCAAATGTCTCCTTTCTCCTGAGTTTTGTGAACCCCACAGGTTCTACTGCTTAAGATTGAATCCTTTTATTTCTTTTCATTTTTGACTTCTTACAGGCACCAATTATTTTTGTGTGTCTGCACTGAGATGCTAGTGTAGTTACCGTTGACATATCTCTCAGATATTTGGCCACTGCATCTTCTGACCACACTGTCAAGATTTGGAATGTTGACGGCTTCACATTGGAGAAAACTTTGATAGGTATCACTGAAGTCTCAACTTTTAAGCCATGCTATCATTCTGACCACACATATAATCTAAACTTTAAATTGATTTTGAAGGTTTTTGTTTGTTTTGTGTTATTACTTATTAGGACATCAGCGCTGGGTATGGGACTGTGTTTTCTCAGTGGATGGTGCCTATCTCATAACAGGTATAAAATTGCATGTCCAAATCATTACTTATTAGGACATCAGCGCTGGCTTTAAAATTGCATGTCCAAAGCATGGACACTGGCCTCCTTACTCCATTCTTCATAGCTTCTTTGATGTGATGTGCTTTTCGCTAAGTGCTGCACTGGTCAATTAACACCAGTTTTCCTAACTATTTGGGTGCCATCACTACTTTTATGTCATGCACACATCTCAGGCTGTAGTTCCTCAAAAGGCATGCCAGAATCACCTAGATTCTGGTCTGACTATCTGATGCTACTGACCCTAGTCATGAAGGCATCTTGCTCTGCATATAACAATGAATTTTATCTGTCTCTTGTCACATGCTTGCCGGTTTATTTTGTGAAGATTCTCTTCTTCTACTTTATTTAGGGTCGATTAGTATTTGCACATGCTTGTTTTGCAGTGGCCTGCACCCTGATCTGCTAGGCTTACACACCCTAAAAATTTAAATTTTCATTGCCTCTTTCTTTGACATCCCTTTCATTGTCTCTTTTCCTTTCAATTATTTCCCTTACGAATGGATTTCTTAGATGGCTTAAACGTTCCATATTACTTAAAGAAAATGAAGAAAATGATCCTAATAACTGAAGTATTTTTTCTAGAAATGTTTCATCACTCATAGATTTGTAGATAGGTTGCACTCTATTATGTTAGTCAAGTGCCTTTCAAAAAAAAAATAAAAAATAAAAAGGTTAGTCGAGTAGCATGATTCAGGAGCCTTCCTAAGGTTCAATTTTGATCCATTTTTGGCAAATTTCTCGTGCAGCTTCTTCTGATACAACAGCTAAGCTTTGGTCCATGTCAAGTGGTGAAGAGATAAAGACGTATCAAGGACATCATAAAGCAACTGTTTGTTGTGCACTACATGATGGAGCTGAGCCTTCTCCATGTTGAAGCTAGATTCACATATTCCATTTTATACCTTTGTACAAGTTGTGCAGTGATTTTAGTTGTGTGAATTGTGACAAAACGAGATGTTGTATTGTTTCTTCCCACATCACTCCCAGCTAGCATTCTGGATTAACTGCAATATCTGACTTTTATCTTAAAAATAGAAGTAATAATCTCAAAAATAATAAATTTCAGTCGAAAATGTTTAGTTTGATTAATACAGCATGGGTAATTTACTTGGCTTTTAGTTGCTCTAATTTAGCTAGCATCGCCTAGAGGTACAAATGCAATAATGTTGCTAGACTGGGCGGTTGTGATATGCCTGAGAATTGGAAAAACGTTGGGAGGAAGTGGAACAAATGCAAGGGGCAGTGGATTGAAATTGCATGTTTTGTATGCGTAGCATAAGACAGTTTTATGAATTAAACAATGATTAATCTGCACTCTCGTGTACATCCGAGTTTTTCCAATCGTAAGGCTTTAAACAAACAATACAAGAACCTTAAAACCTTCCTCTAGATATTGGATTGTTTATAAATTATAATACATATTACAGACCTGTGTGAGGACGAGTCCTGAAACTTTGTAAGCCTAATACAACAACCAACTCACTTCTTACCTGAATATTTTGTCCCCTTACTCCATGCGGGGAAAAACTGGCTTCAAGAAGGTTTTTTTGTTATGACGGCTATGGATGGACTCCACTCTACAAGCCTTCCAAAAAAATAGTGAATGTCTAATATACATCAAATCTCTACTTTCTGCATCAAATCAAAAGATCCAGTCCCCATTTTCACTGGCAATCCAAGGCAGATTCTAGAAGATGGTGTTTCCAAATTGTCCACCAGCCCATGTTTTGCTGCTTCAACAATGAATTTAGAGGCAGTCTCAAAAGACATTTTGCTGAAAGGTGATGTCGACTCAGCTATACCACCCAGTCGGCTCATTGGTCGATACCTTCCAGAATGGGTCATAAAATCAGCAATAAGTGTAAGGTGGCGGATATTGACAGCAATCCCGTAGGATGTGAAAACATGACTGATCTCCCTAATGATGGTTTCTCTTGCAGCTTCCACGCCATACGTATTAAGCATTGCATGAATGCTATTGGAATATAAATACCTAACATCAATGTGATCTTCCATCTTCCAAAAAGCACCAAAATCCACTCCAGTTGTGTGTAGTGCTGGTATTTTTTCTTTGTCAGATGGACTCTTCCTTTTTTTGGGATCTTCCCCATAGTAAAACACTTGATTCTCACTGCAGTCAGTCACTCGACATTGGTCGATCTTTCCAAAGCTCTGGATGTAAACCTTCTTTGCAGTCTTCTCAGCAATCTGCAGACGATTACACCAGAAGAGACCAAAAGTATTCATTAGTAGTTAACTAAAAGTTGAAATTCTCATAAGCAAGAAAGACACGTTGGTTCTTTTAGGAGCTACTTTCCTTCAAATTCAAATGTAACCTAACAAATTTTAAAACATTAAACAAAAATCTTCCACTTTCTAGATCAATAAATAAGCTTGTTTCGAAGGAATTGATAAGTAGCTGATGGAAATGACCCGTTGGAGTCATATGGCACGTATACATGTGCAGTCTAACCTTCAATTAAATCAATATTCAACTTCCAAAAATGGACAGTATTCTGAAGAAATCATAATAGTCCAAATTTATGATGCTGACCACTTCATCTTTCAAGTCATCCATCCAAAAGCAAATTTATGAAGGAATAAAAGGCAGGAAATGAGAACATTTAACCAGAATAGCAGTATATTTCAACCTTTCACATCCCTGTTCCACAGGTAAAGGCTGGAAAGCAAAAGCTTCAATGAATATTGCAACAGAACAAGAAAATGTTCTCCCTTATTGTTGGTTCGATTTTCAATTTATTTCATAAAAAAGGGGCGCCAATGCCCTTAAAAAGGAATGCTATGATGAATGACAAGAAAAAGAGAAGGTGAATGGGTGGGGAAGTACCTGAGCCAGTAAAATGTGAGGTTCGTTTTTCAACTTAAAATGGACCTCAAAACACAATCCTCTGATAGCATTAAATATTGCTCTATCAGACTCCTTCCTAACAAACTTTGCTTTCATCTTCTTCCTTTTGGGTTCTGATCCAGTCTTTTCCTCCCTTGACTTAGGCTTAGATCTGTTCTCTACGGTTGGCGAACTTTGAGATATCTCCTCCTTGCCATTATCTGATCCAATCATATTAATTTGAATAGTTCCAGTCTCATCCTCAGACATATCAATTTCACTTTCCAACCCAGCCAAAGATGCACCTTCATTTTGCTCCTCTTCTGAATCATCTTCATAGTCCATCTCATCTGTAGTTTGCTGTTTTTGCTTTTGTGCATCTAGACCAAGATCCTCAGCTCTTTCCTCATCATCAGCATCATCAGCATCATCATCATTCTTGGTCTCACGTGATCGGCATTCAGAAACATCTTCATCCATCTCATTTGAAGCATTTCGTCGTGAATCCAGCATAAATTTTTTTATGCCACTAATTTTGGAGAGCAAAACTAGATGATTCTGTATAGCATCCTCTAACTCCCTCAAAAACACAACCTTTAAGATGTGCTCACAGTCTTTCACAGTTATATCACTGTTCTCAAAATACTTGTCAGGTTTGCCAAGCATCATCTTAAGTTTATAGATACTACAAATATCACCATTGTCAACAGCAAATGGGGTGACAGATACTTCCATACTCTCTAATATGTCAGCTACTGTGATTTTCTTCATCTTATTAGCAAGACATAAGGCATCCTCCCTGCACATGCAAAATAAAGTAGCTATTACAGGAAAAGACAAACACTGAACAAATATTTAAAGAAGCAAATTTATCAAAATATCCAAAGTTACACCACTTGCCAGACAGTGCAGAAGTCTAGATTACTTGGGGAAAAAGACTAATTAGATAATAACTAAATAGATAAGTTCATGTTTGGTTTTGGAAAGGGAAAAGAGGTAGAAAGGCAGCATCTCCCTCATTTGGAAAACATTTTCATTGAGGGGAGAAACTTGAGGGGATACACATATCTCTCAGAAGCCATCAGATCCCCCAATTTTTTAAATGCTTCAATCGCAGCAATTTGGAGAGAAAGGATTCCTCATTCTTATCATTACCTTTCTGATGACCAGAGAAATTGCCCTTAATATTTCTTTTTAACTTAAAAATGGCAAAAATTGTAAGCATATATTCAGTTATGACTCCTCTTTCTACTCATTAAGAATAATTGTAATGTCACCCCGCCGCCCCCCCCCCCCCCCTCACTTTTAATGATAAATTAAATGAACTTTGCACTAGATCTAGGTCCCTTTACTGGGGACTTAATGATGAAATCTATCTGATCACTCTATCAAAGAACACATGATGACTAGTTCTCAATTGAAACTCATCCTTAAAAATTGTTCACAAGGCTTGCCATTTTGGGTCAACATACAGTGTCAACATGACACACCACAAATACAGGTGCAAAATGCATCCAACACAGCATCAAGAGTGCAAACACACTCTTCAGCCTTAGGCTAGCTGTGACAGCTATGACAAAAGAAGAACAGAGAAAAGGAAAGGAAGGTGAAAGGGAATTCAAGAGTCCATTACCAAGGTTGGGCAGACAGAAGAAGTCGAGATGTCATGATTTTGATGCAGATGATTAAAAAGAAGAAAAAAATTACGGCATTGATTTGAGCTTTGGTTTTTATTATAATCCACTCTAATAAATGGTTTAATAGAAGTTAATGTCTTAGTCCAGCCCAAGAGCAAGAAGGTTAATGTCTTATGTTTCTCTGGTTCTTGATTTTATGGGTTTGAGATTATTAAAACAAAAAATTTAATTACTTTTCGATTGAGCAAAACTATTTAAAAACGATTTGATTGATGAAAATATTCTAAAAGAAGTCTATTTTTCGTACAAGAAAAAAAAAATTTATGGAAGGTATTTTACTATATATTTGTAACAAGAAGCATCCAGTTTCCCTATCCTACATTTTAGCTGACTCTCAAATCCAAAACTTCGAGCAAAAGATGAATGGGACATCTAGGTACATACCCATATCAGCCACCCATACTCTAGTGTATGTAACTTATCATCAAATTAATATATATTATTGAAGTACAAAAACAATATGATTAGGGAAAAATTTGAATCTGAAAACCTTTTAAGAATATAATCTATGCAATGGCAAAGATGACCTTAACATGAAAACTTCCAAATTCAGGGTAATTGATGTTACTAATATAAATTTCTCCCACTCACAACTACAATAACACTCTTTAATTAACTCAATTGTTACTAACTCAACCAGCAATGAAGTTCCAAAAGAACAAGTAAATTTTGTTCCAAAAACAATAAGGGGTAGCCAAGTTACAATTAAAGCAACTAGTAGAAGTGTCTTGACATTTCAAGATATGGACTTCATAGCTTGGTTGGACAAATTGCATCCTCATTGAAAGCCAGAGCCCAACCAAGAAGTCATTTTGATATGAGGGAAGGTGCCATAGGTAACTGGTAGATAATTTATTTAAGAGTGCATTTAGTATATATTTACTAACCCCCTGGATCCACAATCCAATTCATCATCAGAGATCCCAGGTCATTTACATCCCAGATTGTTTGGGCGTGTGAACTAGAGCACCAAAATTATGGACCCAAATTGATGGCTAAAATATAAAGAAAAGAAGTTCGAAATGAGTAATAAAAACAAGAGGCACAATGGAGAAACAGTGAAGCGAGAATGGGATATGTAACAGAAGATATATGACCAGTCAAAAAATTTAAAGATAATAAAAGAAGCGAATGAAAGAATTTGGAAAATCAAATGTAGGTGCCAGGTAAAAAGCTCAAAAAGGGTGGGCTGTGTAGGCATGAAGAGAACATGTTTTAACTTTAAAAATTAGAATGTTTAGAATTTTGACCCATATTATGTGTTAATTGGGTTTCCTTTCAGGCTTATTAATTATAATTGGTCTATTTATGTGCAGTATTCATTCCCATAATTTCCTTTATTTAAAGGTAAATTAAGTTAATTGACTGGCACATTATTTGGAGAATAAAGAGGGAATAAAACTACTATAAAAATTTACTATTGTTATTTCCTCTATTTAAACCCAAAACGAAATTTAAATACACAATGAAAAACCACATTAAAGTAATAATCATTGTCAATTCTTACAATCATGAAAATTATTGACTAAAAAATATCTATCAACTTATATATTCATACTAAAATACACCTGTATAATTAACAAAACAAATACCTATATATTCATTTAAAAGTAAAAAAGCCCTAAGAATACTTTAGAGCGTATCACGACCCAAAATGATGAACCAACAAAACCTAACCCTTTGAACTATAGAATATGGAAGCTGCATACCTCTTTCCCCAAGCCCATCCCATAACCCAAGATATACCACATTCTTAGTAACTATGGTTTGGTTCACATGGCAATGGATGGGATAGAATAAAAATATCCCATCTAAAGATTGGTATTCACTCTAAGAGGAGTGTAGGATAATGAATAGGTGAGTCATCATACTAATATAGGATGTGTCAATTCTGTTTAATATTTATTTAAGCCTTATGGGATAGTATTGCGAGGTGGGTACCCTTATTTTTATTTTTCACTTTACCCCTAAAAATTTTTCTTTAGACACCCCTTTATAGTTGAATTTAACAATTTTACATCCAGGGGTTTTCTTGGTAATTTTTGTTTTATTGGGGTTGGCCTTGTTCATGGTCCATTGTGTCTAATATAGGATTTACTTAAGTTATTAGGTCCTACACATGGTCATTAGTTTTATATGAGTTGAGTCTTATTCCTAATTCCAATGATCTTATGCATCCTACTAGTAAATACACAAATAGTCCAGGAATCATTATAAAAATTGATCAAGTCAACTGACTAGCAAACTATAAATATTGATCTAGAGCAGCTGAAATGACTAGCTACTTACTTCGTTTGTCCCTTATGCAAGGGGCATGTCATTACTGGAGTCCTGATATCAATTGAAGCAGTCATTAAGATCTCTTGCAAACGTGGAATACCAAGCGTAACATTCATTTCACCTCGCCCCGCAAGATGGAAAGTATTCAGCCTGAAAATAGAATATTCAAATGAGATTGACAAAGAAAATAAAGGCAAATCCATCAAAGAAATAATGCTTGCTTTTTTGTGTGAACAACATTTGCATATATCCTTACATCAAAGAAGAAAGTAGCATGTGAAGATATGGACAATTACATATGTCCTATGGGCAGAAGGATGTAATTTCCTAAACCTTGAAAAGTAAACAAGAGAACTTGCTGTTTAAAACTAAAGAGACTTGTCCGTCCAGACCACTGAGTCTTTATAAGCAGTACTGCAAAGAGTTCAGACCAGAACGAAAACTGGTAAAAGAAATTTGTTTCCAGAATTTTTCTCAAGTAATGATTAACTTAAAACTGTTGGAAACTAAAACCTCTGCAGATGCACCCTTCCAGAATAAAAATTTTATAACACATCAACAAAAAGAAACTCCACTAATTGCAACAAACAAGTAGGCATGCTGGTTAGGCTCTACTGCTTAAGATAAAACACTACAATGCAAGCTTCCATCTAGATTCCTCCATTGTCCGGCTTGACAGATACAATTTTCTTAAACAAACTAAAAATAAACAAAAGTGTGCCACAATTATTCTTTTAAGTCCCAAAACAAAACAGTTAAAACTATGATCCTTCCATTAAAGAACTCTGTTAAAAATAAAGAAGCATCCATAAGTCAAAAAGAAATGGAAGAATTAAAGTCTAGTGATGTAAAGAGCTTGCGGACACAAATGAGGCGATTGAAAGATTAGGATCAAAGTCAAATGTTATTTAAAATGGTTAGAGACAGAATGCCCACCCACCCCAACCCAAAGAGAGAGAGAGCTCAATAGAAGCTAACCATAAAATTCCATGCAATATGAGAATTCTCACTACAAAAATCATGCTATTAAACAAAAGACTCTAGTACGAATGAAGGTAAGGAAGACCAAGAAATGGCATGAAACACTGTTTCAAGGATTAAATGCAAGAAAATGACAAAGTTTTTATTACTCCAGAATTACAAACTCAAGATTCCAAAATGTTCTTTCCAGATGATATTCTGATAGAAGAAGTTGAAGGTAATGATGATAAGGACAATGATGACAAACATGCCTTAGCTCAGTTGAAAACTTTAGAATATCAATACCATCTTATCAATCAACAATGATTTTCAGAAACTCAAAAAGTGTTACTCACTGATACCTAAAGCATGTAATGAGTATGAAAAGTCTTTTATACTACATCATATCAAATTAGAGCAGTTGACTTTTTTCTGAAAAAAAATGGCATCTTACGTCATCTGTGTTGAAGGTTCTCCCACAGATTGAGCAGCAAGCACCCCAACCGGTTCTCCAGGCTGGGCAAGACTTGAAAGAAATTTAAGCTTCAACAAATTTAAGAAGTCTTTTGGCTTTATTTTCTGGTGCTGGTATTTCTTTATTTCCTCACGTATAAACTGCTCAGCTTTGCTCCTAAGACCATCAGGCAATATTTTGTCAGAGTCATCAGGCTCTCCAAGCTGAGAACAAAGCTTTTCTGACATCATATCTTGATTCTGAAAATAAAGAAGCAGAGTTAAAAACAATAAGAAACTAATTTTAATTAGGATTCAGACTCAGAAATTAGGAAGAAGTTCTCACTAATGCCAGTGCTTCAAATTTCGCAATAAAACTGGTCTGATGGACATCAATACCATCTTCACCATAGTTAAATTGAACAATGGAGCCATCAGCATCACGAACGGTATGATCATAACTGATCTTCAAACACTCCAGATTCTTTATAAGGCATCTTTGCAGGTATCCACTGCGAGATGTTTTGACTGCTGTATCAACTAGACTGTAAAAAAGAAAATAAAAGTTAGGCAAGGAACAGCAACACAATCTCTAAAAGAAACTACATCATAGATGGAAGGAGAACTGAAAGTTCCAAACAATTTTGTTACCATAACGCTATAACCATCATGACAACTTCATGTCAGGATGCCATAATTCAGCAAATGAAGCTTCACTTTTAACATGTTAACAAAATATACCGTAAAAATGAAGTACATGAATAAGAGGGTAAACAAGACCAGTAAACTGCATTTTAGTCCATTAAATAAACACATTAAATCAACAAATTCCACAACCAGTCAAGCTCCTCATAAACCTCAGATGGGGCTTTAATAATACCGTTTCCATTTATACCTCTATCCCTCTAATAGATAATTCCACATTTTTCCTCCTATGATACTTCCATAAAAGAATGGAGAAACATAAAACTAAGATGTCAGGGAATAAAATCCCAGATGTCCTAGACTAATAAATTCATTCAGATTTAAGGAAATAATTTAAAAATCAAAAAGGGTGGATAGATGCATCATGAGTTCTCCACTACGGTCGGCTTCAACTTCAAAAATTTTGCACAACCATGACAATACAATCAATCAGAAAATGTCTTTTCTTCAGTATCTAAATCCATTAAACATGCTCCATAAGCCCAATTCTGTCTTGCAGTTAGTCATCCTAGCCACCTAAAGATCCAAAGCATTTCAAGCAAACATATCTAGAGCCCATCATTGCTGTTCATAAACTCCAACACAACGTAATAGTAAAACCCCAGACTCATACATTGAACACCTGTCACGTGGGAGGCTATAGGAGAATCTGGGCTTGAAGAAAACAATATAAAACTAATAATATCAGGAAATGCATCTGGTAACTTCTATTCCTTCCCAACTATAGAAGCTTACGAAGATTCTGCATAATGCATGTCCATTAGGTCATGAATGAGGTCCTACTATGAGTATGACGTAAAGAGCCATACAAACAAGCACAAATTAGCAATATTGGCTAAATTCGAAAATATGGCTTCAATGAAAGATAAAGCATTCCCATAGAAGAAACTAAGATAAGCAGAAGATTTACCCTTCACGTCCAGCCATACAGTGGAAATAATATTCTTGCGGCCGAAGACCACTAAGAAATCGATCACTGATGAAACCACCAGCTCTAGCTGCCCAATCCCATGGATGGAAACAGGGTAATGTTTTACCAGAAACCATTCGAGGTACTCGTTTCCCTTCTAATTCTTGTTGACCCAGAAAAGATGAAATTTGCTGAAAGTTAACCTGTTTGAAGGCATAATTCAAATAGTTAGAACCAACCTATCTGTGCTCTTCATGGAAACCATTGAGGCAATAGGATGAGTACACAACTTTATCATAAGCCAGGTTTTTAAATTCTTAAGGGCTTTCCAGTCACTAAGGGCCTTTCTACAACTCTACCCTTGTGATGAAGAGCTGGAAGAAGAGGTTCCATGCAAGAAGAGATCATTCTCTGATTGATACTCAAGAGGGAAATTTGAGACTGTCTTATTTGAAACTTGCAACAATCAACCCAATGAAAATACAGACACATGATTTACCCATGTTCCTTCTCTCTATTGTGGCTCTAGAAACGGTCCGAAGGTCCTAAATACAAATGCGGCATTCGCATATTTGCATATTCGCAAATGTATGTGTAATAAAGCCTTAACAAGTTTTAAATAATGAATAAAAAAAAAACTGTATGCAAGCATGCATGCAGGCACTCATTCTGAAACAACCAAAGCACATAAAGGATTCAAAGGAACAGTCAAACATAAGAGTATTAACTTAAAGAAATTCCCCTACTGGTAATAGACACCAGTAAACAATATCTAGGGAGAAGCATGTATGTATGTATGTATGTGCATGTGTGTGTATCTATATATATATATATATATATATATATATAAGGAGAGATCAAGTTACATAATGTTGACACCCTTCTATAACTTCGTGTATTATTAATATTTCAACAAATCAACTGTTGGATTTAACAACCCACTCATACCTGTCATGCATGTAATTCAAGTCAATCTAACATCCATATCATATCAATCAAGAATAATGTTCTTTCAATATATATTTTAAACTTGAAATTTATTTTTATCATACAAATAGTTAGACATTCTCAATTAACTTGAAATTTGGCATGCAGGATCTACATGAATCAGGCATGAAATCCAAAGCTTGGATTATCCAAATATAAATCATATAAATTGATATAAAAGGATATAAAACTTATATACTACACTAGTATAAGTGGATCCCGCCCCCCGGCAGGCTTCTCTCTCTCTCCCCCCCACCTTATACATACATATATATATATATATATAAAACCATAATAACATCAGTAAAATATGAAAAGCAGAAAAATTACCTTGCTACCTTTAGCCCCAGATGTAGTCATAAGAGATATACAGTTCTCACCCATAGATTTTACTAAACCCTCAGACAACAGCTCAGTAAGAACACCTTTGCTTGAGTTCTCATTAAGCACACTTATCATCTTTCTATCCAAGGCTGTCAGTGCAGTCTCTCCATCTCTGCGTATGGTTCTCTCAATTTCCAATTGCAACTCTGTTGGAGCTGAAACAGATCAAGACATTGCATTTGTGTTATGCATATAATTACTAGTATGAATGTTCTTTTCACTAAATCACAAAAATTTACCACAGGAAATGTATAACAATTCACAAATTCAGGAAAACTTAGTAGTATTGGTAGCAGAATAACTCCTTCATAAGCCTTCTATTTGAAAAACAAAACCTATATAAGTCAAGCCACATTGTTTTTCAATAATTTATTATTGTAATATACAGGCAGCACCAATGTGCTATATCAACTGAATAAAACAATTAAACCAACAAAAGAAGACATAGACTACCTGGAACAGACCCAATGTCAATATCGCACACAAACCTATAATTCTGTGTTGTTTACGTCATAGATGAATATTATATTATATATGTATGTATATGTATGTGTGTGTGTGTGTGTGTGTGTATTACTGGCATAAACTAGACATTAATTTACCATAGAAACAGCATAATTCTAATAAGCACTCAAAAATTCAACATACCTGTTTCACTATCCACCTTGACTCCAAAAAGCTCATAATGTGCTTCTGTGACTTTCTTTTCACAATCTTCAAGTTGCTTCTTCCTTTCAATGTCCTTATCTTCCATTATCAAAAGGTCATCTACTCCACATGTGAAGCCATGCATCTGCATCATGAATGATATATGAAGCAAGTTTCGAAAATCCAATTCAGCAGGCTCCACATTATGAATTGAATTTTAGCAATTAAAGCAAGCTGACCTGCAAGAAAACCGTAAAGAGACGACTAAACACTGACAGCAAAATGCCTGCAGTGTTTGAGCCATAGAGCTCCTGAACTGTATGAACTAGACCATAGTCAGCAAACTGAGCCTTATCAATCACACCACGCACCAAGTCATTTCTGTATATCAATATCTTCTCTTCATCTGGTTCTTTCTTTGAGTTTTTTTCAGCAATGTTGGCTTTTTGGCCATCATTCTTTGGTTGATTTTCTTCTCTTGCACTTTGTTTATTTTTATTTCGTCTGTTTCTAAAAAAATCACGTGGGGTTTTCCCAGTTTTTTCCACCGTAAATGGTGGGTGACCCCTTGTAATATGACTTAGCACAGCACTGATGACCTAGAAACATGGAAGGAGAAGCGCAAAAAAAAAAAATTCAGTTATCTGATACCAAAGATAATTGATTCTCTCCCAATTCATATTCACTAACTTGTCGAAACCTTGCTTCTGGAGCAAAGTTCAGATATAGAAACCTCTGCAAACTTAGGCACACTTAGAATCGTACCATGCACAGAAAAAATAAACATGGGTGTATAACACAACTAACTTTGCAGACTATCAATTACTAACCTGCTTCCCTGTCCAAAGGGGTTTTGGTTTCAATATCGCAGGTATAATGGACAGCATCCCTTCTTCAGAAGTTGATATGAAAACTTTCTGGCCAGGTTTACCGGAGAAAGAATTTTGGGATAAACTGGAAACACCTGAGCTATACAGAAGCTGATTAAACTCATCACGACTTAAGAAAGTATCCCTCTTTGTGAGAAGTACAGCACTTACAATATGATCCTGAAATTTAAGATCAAATAGAAAATTACTAATATTTTATGCAATTATATTCAGAAGAGGACACAGAAGAGAATTCGTCATCATGAAAAATTATAGCATCGCATTCAAAACCTGAATTAAGGCTCTGATTGGTTCACCATTCGAAGGCCTGACATATTGATTATTTGCATTAACAATGTTGTATGCTTCAGCACGAGAAATTTCATCTTGTGGGAAATGTACATTTATTTCATCACCATCGAAATCAGCATTGTACGTACTGAAATCAGAACCAACATATATCAGAATTGACAGTGGTTATTAGGTTTGATTCCACGTCTCAGAAACAAACCATTAATAATTAACTGTATGCATGCATGTCATGAATAGGTGGGTGCAGTATCAACATACCTAACATGTATGTACAGTAGTGCATGTGCGTGCTTTTATCTATTATAGGTCTTACTTAAGCATGCATGTATTGTTCAAAATCCACTTAATATCAACCTGCAATTTGCATAGTGCATACGAATTGTCTTCTCCCCCTTCAACACACGAACTACATGCGCCATTATACTTGGCTTGTGAAGTGTAGGCTGCCAGACAAATAGTATTGAATCACACTCAGGAAACATCAATGCAACAAATGATATATTTAATTAGAAATGTGATTAACACCACATGAAAAACCTCAAAGAGAAGTGCAAGCTTTGATTCAATAAATGTGCAAATACTTTCCCTTTTTAGCACACACTGACAATCTTTTTCATAATTCCATGGACAAGTTGCACTAGGACATAAAGCCTCAAAAGTGATAAACAACATGTTTAACAAGATGGTATACAGCTCATGCTATCAAATAACTAAATACCATAATTCATTGGCTCAACAAAATTGGCATTACCTTCTAAACCACATAAGGTCTTAATTCATTTCTTTACAGAGCATGACACCATCAAACAATAGCACCACCATCACAACAAACAGTGTTTTCCATGGCTAGATGCAGAAAGCAAAAGGCAAAAGGAAAAGAAAATGGAAAAAAAGATCACCTACTCATTAGCACATTCATACACTGCCAGTCAATTTGAAGATATAGACAGTAACCACAAACAAGTTTGTCAAGGATTACTGCTCCAACAAGAAATAATGAGGAATAGGACTAAGAACCTTCCAAGCAAAATAAAAAATTTTAAAAGCTAATATCTAGAGAGCTGTTTCCAGAAGCTTCCTCTTATCCTTTAGCCACATGTACCCTATGAACAAGATAATAAAAAAGAAAAAGGTAAAAGGAAAGTGTTTGGAGAGTAAAAGATGGATGCAAACTCCATGAGTGGATTGGACAGCAACAGAGCCAATTCTCCGGTAGGAAAACAGGATCAAGCTGCATTTGAGTCTGTTACACGCCATAACTTTTCACCCAAAAGGTGATAGACATTATTTATAAAGGGGAATTACTATTTTCTTTCCCTTCAATTTCTTCCCATGTATTTAGAGATCAATAAAAATAACTTAAACATAATCCCTACTATTATGCATAGACTTTCCTGCACTTTTCACCTCATCAAGCACATTTTTATTTTCTAAGACAGCTGATGACTTGCATGGATAAGCACTACAAGTAATTGATAAGGTGAAATTACCTGTCGGTTGACTAACACAACATCCCCATCTTGTAAGTGCCGGAGAACAATTTTTCCTTCAAATTCATAGTCCAAATTCTGTCCAGGTTGGGTAATAGCACCTCTTGATGAAGGTAATTTTCTTGATATGGAAATACGTGCTTTTTGGCTTGGTGGCAGCCTTTTAGTGGACAACTTATCAACATAGTGTGTAGCCCCCGGATGACATTCAGAGCCATTTATAATAGCTTCCCTCAGCTTTACAATATTCCAAGGAGTCACTCTCTGCAACAAGATCAACATTGAAATAAAAAGCATAAAGAAAAAATCAGAAGTCAATGGTTTTCGAGCACATCTAAGAGGATTTACTTTGTTAAGAAAAAGGAAATTTGTATAGAAAATTTCATATATATTTGGAACTAAGCAGCATTATCAAAATAATTTTTCATATTCTCAAATAGTAACTTACAAATTTAATTTGGTAGCTTGGCTAGTAATAAGATATTCTAAGCATTTTTTGTTTTGGAAACCAAAATTCTAAGCTTTATTGAACTGTATCTTAAATGGTGACAAAGGTTACAAATCTGTTTTATTTTTGAAACTTAAAATCACTTTAACCTTGAATAGGATTGAGGTCTAAGGTTGGAATTCCCTTCCCACCCCCACCACCAAGACTTCCTTATATGTGTCCCAAGAAAAAAAAAAAGAACAAAAGGCAATATTTTCATCAAGCTATATGTTTCATATAATGATAGTTATTGATCATGTAACAATGTATACAAGTCTAGGGGGGAAAAACAGACTTCTTGTCTATTAACTTTGCATCAACAAATGGGGTTTGACTGGTTATCTGCACAGTGAAACAAGTCTTATGCTGTTTAGAAGTATTTTTTTTTTTTTTCCGTTTACAACAACTTCCATACATCAAATAGACCATTAACTAGCGTTAACCCTATTCTTGATCCAAAAATCTATGTATGTCTACATATGCATAGTTATACTTACAAGCATGAATAGTTAGCTAATTATGAATGTTTCCTTCTGAAACTGTAATACAAACCCATCAACTTGGTGTCTTGTCCTACTTAAGCCTTAAACCATACGCCACATTGTTATGGCCTCACAGATCTACTGCCAAATAATCCTTTCAGAACTGCTAGCTGTACATTGATGGAGGCAACCAAGATTTGTAGTTTCTCTAACCGGTTTTATATCATTATTCAATCAAATGGTCACAAGTAAAAGCAACATGAAGCACTCATCTTTATGATTGACTCTGTAACTAAGAGACCAAAAAGAAATCATTCGAAGGCAAGCGACAATCTTCTCAAATTGCAATTCAATCTCAAGAGTCAAGACCAAGCAAAATAAAATATAAAGAAGAGAATATAACAATCTACAATGCACTCGTTGAAACTCCAATGCAATAATTTTGAAAGAAATGCTAGATCATAAAAATGTTCAAATAACTTCCTAAAAATACATTAATCAACAAGATGAAGTAAAAAGATAAGATGCTTTATAGGTACAAAAAACATCATTATCAACTGCTTACCTCAGGATAGGTTAACCTTAATGCAAAATAAGGTGGAATCCCAATCTCATTAACGGCTAAATAAGGATCCGGAGATATAACAGATCGGCATGCAAAATTAACCCTTTTCCCCATCATTTTCTGGCGAAACATGCCTTCCTTCTTTTCCAGCAATTGACATATTCCTGAGCTCACATCTCTCCTTTGACCTACCATAAAGAGTAGACAGTCCACTTAACTGGCACATCAAATGCTTAATTCAACAACATCATAATTATATTTGTAAGATCTCAATCCAACAACATTATAATTAGTTTGAAGCAAAGAGCCACACATGCAAGCCACGTATTTAAACATCACGTGCACAATTGAGATGCAGCCAGAATGCCACTCTTCCCATCCAACCTCACCCACAAATATGCATAAATGAAGGGCAGAGTAAGAAAGACAAAAAGAGAGTGCATTTTTTGTCCCATCCTCTCTCTTCTATTGAAGCATACAGTGCGGGCATTGTAAGTCTCCTGTTTATATACCCAAACAACCTTAACACTTCTTCATTTTTTGTCCTCAATGGATATCAGCCCCATCATTTTTCTTTTGCATTCATACATAATCATATCTTCTCTTTAATGCTCACAAATCCATTGCAGCATTCCCATCTGCACCATAACCCCCTTTGTATGTTGATACCTAGTTGTCCAACATTCTGTCCCCTAAAACATTGCTGTTCTGCTGTCATTTCGTAAAAATTTCCCCTTAAACTTCACTGGAATTTTAAACTAGATAATATATCTGGTATAAAGATATATATATCATTAGTTCTGTCTTTTTTTTCAAATATCAGTCCCAAATATTGCAAGATACTGAATGACCTAATTTTTCCAAATTTGTAAGTGTTAACTCATTAAAAGCTTCCCCCTTAGTTCAAAACTATTTTGATAATACATTTCAGACAAAAACTATGTAATGTTTCTCTAGGAATTTCATAACAGCAATTCCCTCTAATACAAAGTCAACCATTCATGCAACCACATTTAGCATGAATCAGAGGAAAGAAACATTTAAACAAAGATAATTCTCCCTTATTATTTTTCGTAAACGAACCAATCTGAAGAATATTGAATGTTAATTTCAAAGAAACTCATTCAAGTACACTCAAATCACATACTATCACCCATTAGCAACTAAAATTAGTACACTCAATCATGCAAATGATATGACAGCAAAATTGTCTAAGAAGCAAGCTTTGTAGTACAAGTCAAGAATAAGAAGAATTAAATTGCAAGCATTAGAAAAACAAGCATGCCATGTTCTTTCTAGCTCATCTAGTGCAAAACACAAATTAGCAAATGCTATCTAACATAACATGCCAAATATACATGTCATTATGCCACTGCAGAGAAACTTTTAGCTCTAAAGCTATCTCTCACCAACCTATACTGTGTCTAATACGCTATAATAATAACAAAGGCCAAAGAGCAAAGAGTTTACATTGATTCTCATCAACACAATGTACTTACTCATTGCAGTTTTGCTATCAAACAACAAATTTACAGATTGCTGGAGATCCATCCACAGTCTAACTACAGCATTTGAACTCTGCAAATTGTTTGTATAAGCATTTCCTAGTGATATATTGGCCTGCAACACCTTACTTAGCAAAACAGTCTGAGGATGCTCCATCACCTACAAGAAAAAAAAAATGAAAATGAGTTAGCAGATATCCATTCTTTAAAGAAAATGCCTAGTTAGTATGCTGCAGCACCAACAACAAAGAAACAGAAAATTAAAAGAAAGCTAGGGGCAATTCTAAATTCTGAAATCAATACTCAATATCAACATTCAATTCTCAAAATCTAAACAAGCCAAAAGGCATTTCATACAAGTCTCTCAAAACACTTCAAACTTTATGAGAGTGTCTCAAAACCCTAATGTAAAGCCCACATAAAATAAAAAAATCCACTTAAATAAGGCACAGATAGACATGGCTACATTTTCAATATTTTTCACCTAAAGCATGTGATATAGCATTATGGGGGAAAAAAAAAGTACACCTGCATTACTTAAAAGGTGCCCTCAATCAAGATATCATTTAAGAGAAAAACAGCACATGCATTCCCATCTCATCTTAAAGAAATAAACTAGCAAGCCCAAATATGGGCCCAGGAAATTAACTAATTAAGTTGTTATCAAAAATCAAATCATATAGGTCAACATATCATCAGGTTTCAATAAGTATACAGACACATTTAACAGCTTAAAGTGAAAAGAAAGAAAAATGCAAAACAATAATGGTAACAGAGAAAATCTAAAAGCCATGTCATAGTTGGTCAAGTGCATAATCATCCCCAAACTATTTCACATACTTCATATGACCTGGATTCTTTTCTACATCATAGATAATATGTCAGGCATAAAAGACTCCTCCTCAGACCACATTCCATCAAAAAATAAATTTCTACCCATCTCCCGACTTATGTATGTCCAACAAGCCATCCTGATTCTTCATTCTTTGTTCTTCTATATGCACTAGTAGCATTTATAACAAATGAAACCACCCATCATTAATACTCTCAACATATAATAGGGAGTAAATGAGCTGATCAAGCTTATTACAACCACCACCACCACCCCCCTCCCCCCCCCGTCCCCGGCTCTCCCCTTCCTTTTCTCCCTCTTGGACAAAGGGAAATAGCATCAAATTTTTGTACTTACAGAATCACCTCCCTTGGTTGGAGCACGGAACTTAATAGGAGGCACAAGAATGGTCTCTAAAAAGAACATAGAGTAGCCCACTTTCTTTCCAGATCCTTGCTGCTGGATATCACTGATTATTGAGCAAAGTTCAACCTCATTTTCCCACAGAAGTTTTGTAATTTTTTTAACCTGTGGCAAAATAAGAATTCTAAAGTAAATATTCAAAAGACAGTTAACAAGGGCAGTCATGAAGCTAATACTAGAAATGTTGGCATGACTAGCAGTCATACCTCTGATGGCAACAAAGGTCCTGAAAACAAATTTTTCTGCTTCATGAACTCAAGAGGGACTTGCGCCTTCTTTTTACGAGCTTTTGCACCAGCACCTTCATATCCTGTAAAGCCAATTTCAGGAGTATCCATTTCAGCTATATCAAAACCATTTCCAGAGCTAGACATATCATCAGCATCTTCTAAGCCAGATCCTGCTTCACCAGAAAATGTGTCTACCATTTTGCACCCTCTGATAACATTTTCCCTCATTTGAGCACCCAACATGCCATTCTGCAGTTAGCAACCAAGACATTTAAGTATTAAATGATTAAAGCTCAAGTTTCCAAGTTGGAAAAGTAGATTATGACAACTAATTTAATCACAAAAAATCATAAGCAACAACAACTAAATCAGTATGCACATTCATCCAAATGGACAAGATAATCATTTGAAAATTTCAAAGTGGGTGGAATATCTATAGTCATGAGACTCTAATTATTGGGCAAATCAAGGACAACATACATATATCCTTGTGGTACAATCCCCACATAATACGAAAAAACTTAGTTTGTTATTGTTGCTGTTATATATCCTTATGGTAAGCTATGCAACTGACAACACAAGCAATCTGCTAGTGCTTCCACAAGTTAAAGGCAAGGAATTCTTCAACAATGAACTGGTCAGCAACTGATAAAATATCCTACAAAAAGCACACTCTTCCTCAAAAATAAAATGGCTAGACACTACAAGCTTTAATTTTATCATCATAAAACCCATCATATAGAACCTTCAAGTTCCTATAATTAATAGTCCCGGACTAAAAATTGGTGAAGGTCATCTCACAATGAAATTGACAGAGAAATCTCAAAAACCATAAAGTCAACCCAGCCAGTTTGCCAATATCGTAGAATGTTTACTTCAAATTATATTGGCTTTGAAACAAGTAAAACATGATATCCACAGACTCACTTCAGAAGAGTACTACTGACAGCATAAATGTCACCTGGTTTTATAGCATGGTTCAAAAGTTTAGGAACCATTTACTCTTAGAAAATCCAGTCCATTTCCATTTACACTGTAAACATACTAAATAGATAAGGAAAAATAACTAAATTTGGAAAACTGGAAAACAAGGATTCCCAGGTTTAGTTCTTAAATTCGTTGATCATATATAACATAAAATGCCAATGAAAAATGGAAAACATTTGAACAACTAAATGAACCATTGTCTTTTTCTGATTATCGATTGCCTAATGCAATAAACTTTTCTAATGTCTAAGGTATCACTTTAAAAACTGTACAGGAATCATCATGAAATAGACTCTGTTGAAAGACTAGTTCTTACCCTCCACCACTTCCCCGAGTATTATCTCCCATAGGTCATTTCAAATAAAGTCTTTAGAATCTAAAATCATAGGCACCTCTAGCACAGTGAACAAAAGTTAGCAAAAATAACCCCCACCACTTCCCAAGTGTTATCCTTCTTCCAATAGGTCATTTTCGAATAAAGTGTTCAGAATCTAAAATTATAGCCACCTATGACACAGTGAAGAAAGGCTAGCCAAAATAACTATTAAGCAAATCACAAAGTAAAAACAGCATAAAAATGAAATTTCAAAAGAAAAAAAAAATGAGAAGATGAGAAAGAGGAGATATACCGTGTGTAACCAACCAAAAACAGGTTTGGTGATATTAGGATTTTTTGCATCACAGTTCTTACACTTGTTGTATTTCAGTTTTAGAAAGTTATTTAAAACTGACATTGCTCCCGTAAGCTGAACAGAATTCCATTCCTTCGGGTTTACAGCCTCAGAATTGTGTACTATTGAACCTAATTCTTGACACCCTTCATTATGATCCGAATACGATGATGCATCTGTGGAGTCTGAATCTAACCTTTTGGCACCAACAATATCACCTTTTGCAATGAGTTTCAATTGCGAAACACATCTCTCAACCTTAAATTAATTTAAACCCAAAAAAATACATTAGAGAAGGTAAAAAAATTTCAACATAAAAAAATGAAAATTGTTTACCTCAGTCTTTTCTGCCCTAAAATGATAACAAAAGAAACAGATCCTCTGAAGAAGGGTATGAAGAAAATTGAACAGCAAGGGATTATAAATCGGAGACACTAAGTCAATGTGACCACAATGACCCGGGCAATGTAATTTCAAGAGGCCACAGCTTTTACAACTGCAATTAAAGGTCAAATTAATGTAACTATATCCAAAAAAAAAAATACATTTATTCTAGTAGCATTTGGCTGTGGCTTTTCCACTTCCTTTTCGGTTGTGGAAGCAAAACAGCAGCATATGTACAAACGAAAATAATATTTTTAGCAAAAAAATGCATAATTTTTCATTTATATAGCATAAATTGGTTTTAAAATTGTATTCATCTATTTTACATTTTTAATCAATTAAGATTTTGCTAGCTATCATTTTATTTCATTTTACAGAAACTTTTTGTGAGCCAAATAAATTTAGCGAAAGGAAAAGTTGTTCAAATATTGAGAGGAAAAAGAAGAGAACATACGGAGTTCGATCCTCAATAGGCCCTAAAACGGCGTCGTATAATCCGCCAGGCATAGGGCGGTCCATGAGGTCAAGCAAATTGGCGTTGGTAACTTTCAAAAAGCTGTGTTTTCGAACCTCTTCGGTTGTCATGAAATTGAACCACACCGCCTCCACTGAATCCGTCGCCCCCTACAAATATTTAAGAACGAATAAAGAAAAACTACGACTTCAAAAAACTTCGAATTTTTAGGTTCAAAAATAATACTTAATAAAAATAGTTGAGGAAATTTTATTCATTAGCAAAATTTTGAAGACAAAAAAACTCTGTTGAGGGAGACAAAGAGACCTCCGTGATTTGGGCCATGGCGGCGGTTGGCGTTTAAATAAAAGGAAACGGTGAGGGAGGTGGAAGCTGATAAAGCAACCGGCGGCGAGGGAGAATTGACAGTTGTCGGCGGTGGAAATAGTTTAGAGTAGGGGTTTTAAGGGGGTTTAAGCGCTGTGTCTTTTGCCCTTCCTCTTTTTGAATCGCTTTTATTTATTATATATATACTTTTGCGATCAGGAGAAAATTAGCACAAATAACCTTACTCTAGTGTGCGTTGGCTTTAGGCCCAGCCATGGGTTGGCTTTGCAACCCGTTGTCTTCTTGTAAGACCAACTTTATGGTAAAGTCAAATAATAAAATTAAAAAATAATAACAAAAAATCTTTTAAATAGTTTAACACGTAAATAGTATGTGTAATATATTATCTCACTCATTTTATTTTAAATATTATGTCATTTTTATTTTAATCTCACTCCCTACGTTAAAATGTAAAATTATTTTTTTAATATTAAACATTATATTTAATTACTTTAATAAGATCAAATGATGTCAATGCTATGTAGTATATTAACATTTAAAGATAATGTTAAACTCATTACATTAACATTAATGTTATATGAAATTAAATGTTATGTATTAAAATATTTATTTAAACTTTTTTTTTAAATTACGTAATTTTATTGCATGATGTCAAAGATAATTCTTCATACTTATTAATACAAAATACAATAAAAAATTAAAAAAATCAAAATAACCCCTAAGAATAAAAACACCGAATTTGGGGATGTTCGGATCCAAATAGAAAGGCCCAGTAACCTCACCCAAACCTTAGGCACATCATGCCAATTTAAGACATGAGGAATCCTAAAATAGCTGATGTCCTAAACCTATTAAAATGTAGACTATCGGCCGGGAAAGAAGCCGTGTCCGAACCGGAGAAACACGTCCAAGTTCAGACCACATAATGGCAGTAGAGTGAATATATTAGACATTATCCAGACATCAACAACTTAATTTTCAGAATTAAATGACCCTTTCAAGGAGGCATCATCTGGTAAATTTTACAGTAAGATTAACCTTAATGTAAAGCCACAAATAAGAACTATTAGATTTAAAGGGTTTAGTTTCAGTCATTGATCAATAAAAAAAATTACAATCTGTTTAACACGTTAAGAAAATAACACTTTAAGTGATTTAAGAAAATAACTTAAATAATCCAAAATAAATATTACAGGGAAAAAACTATCAAATACAATAACAAAATTTTTATTAAAATTAATCATTTACATTTACATTCTTGAATAAAAAATGTTAACAGTTGAAAAAATTTTAAATAAATATTATTATAAAAATTTAGTTTAATGAATAATTATTTTAACAGTAATTTTTTATTTTTATTATTATTCATTTCAAAATTAAAATTTATAAACTGAAAAATACTTTTAGCAGGGTAATAAAATTTAAATGTTTAATTTTTACTAAATTTAAATTTATTTTGATCTAATTGACTTATTACGTTCAATCTCACACATTTACGTTAATATTTTAATATTCTCAAACGAAAAACTATTAACCATTGAGAAATTTTTAAATAAATATTCTAATAAAAATTTAGTTTAATAAATAATGATTTTAACTACAATTATTTTTATCATTTTTATTATTTGTTTATAAAATAAAATTTATAAATCATTAAATACTTTTAGCTCGGTAACTAAATTTTTATTAATTGACTTATTACGTTAAATTTCACACATTAACATTAATATTTTGATATTACTAGTTTCATCTTTATAATCTTTTACATTAATTCTTACAGTTTTACATCAGAATTTTTCATCTACTTATTTTCACTATAATTATTTTTATCCTTATTATTATACATTCATATATTAAATTTGTAAACCATTAAATACTTTAAACTCAAGAATAAAAATTTAAATGTTTAATTTTTTAAAAATTATATTTATTTGACTTAATTGACTTATTACATTAAATCTTACACATTTACGGTAACATTTTGACAATATTTGTTCCACCTTTATAATATTTTATGTTAATTTTTACTGATGTTTACATTTTTTAACTACTAATTTTTACTATAATTATGTTTATCCATACTATTATTCATTCATAGATCAAAATTATTCAACTGTAAAATTACATTAAACTTAAGAACACAAGTTCAAATTTTTCTCAAAAATTATGTTTATTTGATGTAATTGACTTATTATTTTATATCTCACACATTTATGTTAAAATTTTAACACTGCTTGTTCAACCTTTATAATTTTTTACCTTAATTCTTACTACTTTATATCAACGTTTTTTAACTATTAATTTTCACTATAATTATTTTTATTCTTATTATTATTTATCTATAGATTAAAATTTGTAAGTTGTTACATACTCTAAACTCGAAAATAAAAATTTAAATGTTTAACTTTTTTGAAAATTATGTTTATTTGATATAAATAACTTGTTACGTTAAACCTCATACATTTACTTCAATATTTTGACAAACCTTGTTCCATCTTTATAATTTTGTACATTAATTCTTATTGCTTTACATTAATGGTTTTCAACTACTAATTTTCGCTATAATCATTTTTATTTTTGTTACTATTTATTCATAGATTAAAATTTATAAGCCGTAAGATACTTTAAACTCGAGAATAAAAATTTTAATATTTAATTTTCCTAAATATTAAGTTTATTTAACAGAATTGACTTGTTACATTAAATCTCACATATTTAAGTCAATATTTTGATAATCCTTATTCTACTTTTATAATTTTTTATATTAATTCTTACTACTTTACGTCAACATTTTTCAACTATTAATTTTCATTATAATTATTTTTATCCTTACTATTATTCATTGATAGATTAAAATTTATAAACCATAAAGTACTTTAAACTCAAGAATAAAAATTTAAATGTGTAATTTCTCTAAAAATTATATTTATTTGATATAATTGACTTGTTATGTTAAATTTCACACATTTATGTCAATATTTTGATAATACTTATTCCACCTTTATAATTTTTTACATTAATTCTTACTATTTATGTCAAGGTCTTTCAACTATTAATTTTTACTACAATATTTTTATCCCTACTATTATTCATTTATAAATTAAAATTTATAAGTTGTTGCATACTATAAACTCAAGAATAAAAATTTAAATGTTTAATTTTTTCAAAAAATTATATTTATTTGACTTAATTGACTTGTTATGTTAAATCTAACATATTTACGTTAATATTTTGATAATCCGTGTTCCACCTTTATAAGTTTTTAAGTTAATTCTTACTATTTTATATTAAAGTTTTCAATTACTAATTTTTACTATAATTATTCTTATCCTTACTATTATTCATTCAATCTCCCACAATAATTTCCAATTACTCCAAAAATTGGATTAAATCAACATTTGTCAAGGCTCTTTCTTTAGCGAATCCATCTACAATACTACCCCTTTCCCTTTTTATATGTGCCACTTTCCAACAGTGAATTTCATTATGAAGATTCTCAATTTGCAATAAAACCTGTCTAAACCTCCATGGAGCATCCCTTGGATTATTGACCCAACTTACAGCATTGAGGGAGTCACTTTCTACCTAAAAATTTGATAAATGCTAATTCATTAAGCCAACAAACAATTGAAAAGCTTCTTTTATTGCAAGAATTTCAATTAAATTCGAATCTCCATGCCCTATGCATTTCAAGAATTTCAAAAGAATATTTCTTGAGCTATCTCTCATAACTCCTCCTATACCAACTAGCCTTGAATTCCCTTGTACATTGCATTTGACCCAATCAGCTTATGGCTACTGCCAATTCACTACTTGCCTAGAAATACATTCATGTCGTGGCAATGAAACAGAAAAAAGAACATCTAAAAATCTCCGTTATTGTCTTTGAGATTCTTGATCACTTTACTTTACTCCATAAGGTTATTCATAATTTAATAAGATCATATAATTGTACCACATCCCACTTCTTATTGTTAAATACAATTTCATTACAAAAGAGCCCTATGGACTATACAATAACATAAAACACAAGGGTCCATACCTTAGACTTATCACCACAATTACATAACAAGTTCTAAATAAGGAAGCAGACTCTTTGATTTTCATGAATCACCTAATAGATATTCCACACCGAACACCACATCCCCCAAACTTTCCAAACCTTCTAGCAAGCAAAAATAGAGATGATGAATTGTTTCAACTTTTTGATTGCAAATCACATAATTTGCTTGACTAACATCTAGCATCTTCTTTCGAAATAATTTATTTTTCACTGCAACACACTCCCACGTCAATTGCCAAACGAAATTTCCACTCTATACGGAGCGAAACCCACCCAAATTTTCTTCCACAAAACTCTATTCTCAAATTGTTGGCTACGAGTAATGTTGTAGAAAGATTTTGATGAATACTTACCTCTTAAACATGGTTTCCAAACCAAACCATCCTTGTAACTTTTTTCAAGAGTAAATTCTTAAAGATAGCTTCATAGTTTGGTCCATTGAGTGAATTCCCACCCAAATAGTTGTTTTCTCAAATAGATCCTTCGTTGCCAACCTTGATCGGTCCATACACAATATTCACAAAGACTGCCATGTTTATTAACAACTAATGTTAAACATCTAGGGAATTCCTTTCTTAAAACCAAGTCCTCAAGCCACACATCCTGCCAAAATCAAACCAAACCACCATTCCCTACAACAACGCCAAAATTAAAAGTAACCTACAAGAAAAATTTGTCAAAAAACAATAGAGGAGATAAAATATTTTTCCTAGTATTAGAATATTTATGATCAACAACAGCCTTAAGTAATAGGGCACTTGGTTCATTGTCGCTCTTCGTTGCTAGCACTTGTCTGCAAAGACTATCCTGTTCACTATTATACCTCTAAATCCACTTCGCTAATAACCCATTATTCTTAACCTCAAGATCCACAATACTCAACCCCACATCACCTCTCTTCTAACAAATATTTTTCTAAGAAACAAAATGCATA